TTTGCTGTTGCCTGTTTGCCATCGTAACAGCAACAGCACCTGCTGCTGCTGTTGCTGCTGCTACTCCCTGCTGCTTTACCATACCGTATTTGTGTGTCTGCTGCTGTTGCTGCTGCTGTTGCTGCTGCTGTTGCTGCTGCAGCACGGATGGTTTCGTGCTGCACTGTGTGAGTACAAGAAGGGCCTTGATATATGCCGCATGTCTGCTGCATATTCCTCTTTGCTGCAGCAGCAGCAGCAGCAGGTGGGCATCAGCAGCAGGAGCAGCAGCAGCAGCATGAGGGCATCTTCCTTATATGCTCATGGTCCCCTAGGCAGCAAATATGAATTATCTGTTGCTGCTGCTCAATCCCTTTGCTGCTGTTTGTCTCTTAATGCTGCTTCTTGCTGCATTAAGCTGCAGCAATATAGGGAAGCAATTAACCATTGTGATGTAGCTCTTGCATGCGCTACATATAAATGCAGCAGCAGCAGCAACAGCAGCAGCAGCAACAAAGAGGACAGCAGCAGGGGTTCCCAACAAGCAGAAACAGCGGCTAAAAACCCCCAGCAGCAGCAGCAGCAGCAACAGCAGCAGCCGCAGCAGCAGCAGCAAGACAACCATCACAACAACGACCCCCACCATCAGCAGCAACAGCAGCAGCAGCAACCGCAGCAACAGCAGCAGCAGCAGCAGCAGGAATTATTTGATGGTATACGTCAGCAGCAAATAGGTTTATATAGGAAGGCAATAGCACTGCAGCAAATAAAAGAAATTGATGAATCTTTTGCTGCTGCTGCTGCTGCTGCTAAATTGTCTCCTAAGGATAAACATATCAGGGTACGCTGCTGCTGCTGCTGTTGCTGTTGCTGCTGTTGTTGTTGCTGCTGCTGCTGTTGTTCCTGGTTTGTTGCTGCTGGTGCTTCTGGTGGTGCTGTTGTTGTTTGTGTTGCTGCTGCTGTTGCTGCTGCATTTTTGTTCGTGCTGCTGCTGCCCTTGTTGCTGCTGCTGCTGCTGCTCTTCTTGCTGCTGCTTCATGTGTATTAATACGATCATAATTGCTGCTGCTGTTGCTGCTGCAGGCGCTGCTGCTGGAGCTGCAGCGAGAGAAGCAGAGGCAGCAGCAGCAGCAGAAAGCTACCTTTAAGGGCTTCCTGCTGTAGTCCCTTCACCAGTTGCTGCTGCTGCTGCTGCTGCTGCTGCTGCTACAGCTGCTGCAGAAAAAGCAGCAGAAGCACAGGACCATTTGACGAGTTCTACAGCTGCAGTAACTGCAGCAGCAGCAACTGCAGCAGCAGCACCAGCAGCAATAGCCAATGCACAACAAAGTTTTGTTGCTGTAAATGCGTACATCATTTTGCTGCTGCTGCTGCTGCTGCTGCTGCTGCTAGGTAGCTAGCTAGCTAGCTTGGCCCCCAGCTACCTAGCTAGCTGCTAGCTAGGTAGCTAACAGGGGAGCTATACATTGTTTGTTTACATTTTGTCCAATTAATTCGTCAAGCCTAACAGCTAGCTAACCAGTTAGCTAGCTAGCTAGCTAGCTAACTAACTAGCTAGCTACCTCCCTACACCCTCTAGGGGGCCCCGGGGGCCCCCCTCTAATAAACCCTAAAGGAGGAGGCCCCCCTTACTGAGCCCTTGAGGGCCCCTCTATCCCCCAATGAGCAAAAAGGTTTATTAGACCCTCAAGGGGGCCCCCATAAATAAGGGTTTATTTTTTTTTTTTCTTAACAAGGGGCCCCCCTAGACAGTGCCTTATAGGGGGCCCCTTGAAGGTGCGCAGTCTTGCGAGAGCACAAACGCTCAACCCAGCTAGCTAGCTAGCTAGCTAGCTACCTAGCTGGGTACCTGGCTAGCTAGTCAGGCAGCTAGCTAGGTAGCTGCCTAGCTGAGCTAGCTGGCTAGCTAGTTAGCTAGCTAGGTAGCTAGCTAGGTAGCTAGCCAAGAGTACATCCTCCATTCCTTCCCCACCGTGTGTCTGATTGACTAGCCCATCCGTCAACCCTCCTGGCCACCTAGCTAGCTACTCAGCTAGCTAACCATGCAGCCAGCTAGCTAACCAGACAGCTTGCTAGCTAGCCTGCTAGCTAGCTAGCTAGCTAGCTAGCCAGGAGACTAGTACGTCCTTCATACCCTCACCAACTTCTGTCTCATTGAGTACAGCACCACCCAACCATCCCAGCCAGCTAGCCAGCCAGCCAGCTAGCCAGCCGTCCAGCTAACCATCCAGCTAGCCAGCTAGTCAGCTAGCCATCCAGCTAGCTAGCTAGCTAGCCAAGACACTTGAGTACATCCTCCATACGCTCATCAACTTGTGTCTCGTTAAGTACAGCATAACTCAAGTAAGTATCTCGGCTAGCTAGCTAGCTAGCTAGCTAGCTACAAAGCCACCAATCCCTTGCCTAGCTAGCTAGCTAGCTAGCTACTCAGCTAGCTAGCTAGCTAGCTAGCTAGCCAAGGGACTTGAGTACATCCTCCATACCTTGATCAACTTGTGTCTGGTGAAGGACAGCATCACAA